GCAGTTTCTTGGTGAAAATCTGGGAGCCTTCTGGGAAAATACTACAAAAAGTTGTAGAAATTCAGAAAAATTGGGAACATGGTGAGGATGAGAAAGGGGTCGTACTGGAGGAACTTTTTAGGAAGGGGGTCGTATTCTGCCAAAATCCTCCACAGCGGCAGGACGTGTCCTGTCAGGGATCATTCAATCCCATAATCGAACATTGGGATTCCATCAGGGCTAAATCATGCAGAAAACGGCAGAAACAGTTCTCTGTGGGTGGAAAGGTCGTTAGCAGTATTGCGTTTAATCAATGATTGCCCGATCGTGCACAATACCAAACATCAGACATGCACTATTGAATCAGATGTCTATACAACAATCCGGACGCAGCGCACTATTGACCGATTCAGTACACCTAGGACAAACGGATACAGTTCACCGTTACATCCCCAAAAAAGCGTTCCTCGCCACTGGGATGGAAGGGATCGGGGACCTGGGAGAAGAATGGGAAGCTAATATTTGCACGCCATTGTAGAAGAACATTTTTCAAAGTACGATTACCATTTCCCCCCCCCCTCAAGCCTGAAGTTCGTGGAGCAGGAAGTCCCCCTCCTCTCACCTATCCCAAATGCTAACTACAGTAGCGAAGACCCTCAAAGGCTGACTCAGGGGGAGAGGTGATAAAGGATTTTCGGCATACCAAGTACGATCCACTCTTGTCAACTAAGAACTGTGGCCACAACACAGATTTGACAGGAGTAGCAATGGTAGTCGGTCCTCACATCCTCAAAGACACCATTCGCGATTGCGGGATCGGTGGAACCAGATAACGCCATGCCCCGCCTGTCTTCTTCCTGACATCTGATGGCGGAGAGAACGGCAACAGGAGCGCGCCAATGACGGCGTTTCCTAACTTCGACCACCAGGCAATCTTGAACGGTGCTCCAAATTCTAGGGGCGTTATTCCACGGACTGTGAGATTCCAAAAAACGCTCATCGGTTGTCGTAAACATGAAGAGAAACGCTAAAAGAGCATTTGGCGCTGAATTACAGATGAACGTTTGGCGTTTTCGACCAAGAGTTAATGTATATCACGCTGGAAAGCAACCCACGAATAAATCTAGGGCACATGGTCGCAACGGAAAGGATCTTCAAAATGCGATCTTTCCAAAATACAACAGACGTGTGGGGGGGGGGGCAACGACAACAAGCAACAATGAAAAAATGGAGGTAAGCACGATCTCCGCTCCCTTCCTTTAGAAGATCTAATAATAGTGACAACCAGACTAAAACGTTACACCATTTTATTATTATACTTAACTATTTCGTTTAGTTTGCCCTAGTGCTGAACGATCAACGAAGGTCCTTATCACCGGGTCTGTAACCTTTTCACTGCAAGGATTTTTGAAACTCCGCGCTGGCCTGTAAAGTGCCACAGCGCGCAACACAGGGTTGAGATGGACACTGAGTACCCCCCCCCCCTACACCTCTCTTTATCTCATAGGGGGCACACCCTCCACCACCGTCCCCTACCCACCCCCACCCTCCCCCTCGCCTGGACGTCAAACTGAATCCTTTTCGCGATCATTTATAGATGTGGCGTCGTATCCTTTCGGTCTCATTTGCAGCTCACATCCTTTCCTTCCCAGCCCCCTCCTATTTTTCAAAGGGAACAAAATACCTTCCAGAAGTCCGCCCTTTCCAAGGCATTGGGTCGGGGAAAGGTTTAGCGGTTGCAGCAGCTGATTATGAACGAATTAGCCTTGACAAAACCAACAAACCAAACGCCATATTTGAACGCTGTTAAAAACCCGCCAAGGTACACCAACTATGTAAAAAATGCGCGCCGGGCACGTGAGTATAAGGTGTGCGGGATAAAAGGTAACCCGCTCACCAGATTAGGAACCAGCTTGGGGTGACAGATTATGCTTTCCGATCGACACTTCCAAAGGTTAGTTCACTTAGCTTTATGACGCCACTCCAATGGCGCTGCTCGTTGGCGAGGCGGTAATTTCGCACCTTCGCTAGTTACTGCTGATTTACACGTGAACTCTTGACAAGTGTAAACGAAGCTCTTGCTACTGCACAGCTTCACAAGAGTTTAACGTCCTCGCTGGAGACATCGGCAGTGATTGATGCGAATGAGCAAAATGCCCGCTCCTAAGTCGATGTGTGCCGAGGAATATTTCTCAGTAAGTTGAAAGAATTCTGGAGATGGATTGAAGGAATTTGATTTTACGCTCTACCCCCACCTCCCAGTGCCCAACGGATCAATGATGAATCTGGCCTCATTACGGCGTGGTCTGCCGAAACCACGCGTTTATTATCACACTTTTAGCACGAGTCCACGCCGAGTTCATCACATGGGACACGTGCTCACATGACACCCGTTGCCATTAACGTTTCCAATATTTTTGCATCACAAAAATGACGATAAGCCCATTAAATGTCATTCTGATGAGCGGCATAATTGAGAAGGGTTCTTGCCAAATGAAGGCCCCTCAACGATCACTGGTGATTCGTTCGTACAAAAACAGGTCCCCCCCAGACAGACCGTATCCCGCCACGCGCACTCGATCATAGCCGTGACAAGTGCGCAACATTGCAACATCGTCGCACCGATTAGAATCGCCAATATTATGAGAGAGCCGACCCCTCTCTTCTCACAAAGAAAACCCGACGGGGTATCAAATTTGCATGACGGCCGTAACCAAACAGTTCCACATGATTGCCAAACAGACGGGAAAAAAAGCTGTTCCATTGTTTCACAGAACTTCACGACTTTAGAGATTTTGATAATTTTGAACATGGTCAATTCCAAAATACGCAAGCAAAAGTTATAGTTCCAGTAGAAGGGAAAATACAGCCCAAATGACCTTGAAGGGAGCACTTAGACTCCTAGTGCAAAACTGGGACTACCATCATCTGAGAAAAATTACCAGGCGCAGTTGGGCGACCGGCCGGGGGGGGGGGGGAGAAATCGCACTTTCGCTGTTCGACTGGCTCCTGTTTACAAGCTGCTAACTCCTGTGAAGATGGAGCAAGCTCGTCAAGCTACCATGGTGAATGGTACTTGCGTGGTACTTTACTCTTTAACAAAAGTTGACAAATGTTCTTACAAACTTCGGCTGGTGTCATTTCGTGCCTTCACAAGATTTAACAGGTCTACTTGATGGCCCGACTGCTTCCCCCCCCCACCTCGTCGCCGGACTGCGCCGAATTAAAACGATTCCGAGTGGCTTACAAACTCTAGAGCTCCTTATCTTGAGCCCAGGCAGAAGTCATCTCCTTCAAGGCAGCTCTCGTTTAGCACAAGAAGTCCTGCTAATGCCCCCTCCACGGATACTAGCGCCGAGAACCCCGAAAACCCTAATTACTCTCATATAACCTTTACGCCTTTGTTTCTTGACTCGTTATCTCTCAAATTTTGTCCCTGTGAGCTCAGCACCCAGGAATCCTTAGCAAATCGCTCGAAAAAAGCAATTTGTCGAATCGGAATACGACACGACGGAAAAATCATAGCAGGTTTATTACACTGCACGTTGCTCAACTGGAATTTGAAATGTGAAACTAACTAATGGCGCTCCTAAAACACTCATCCTCGTTGGTTAATTAATGCCTTCAGCGAACGTTTATCCTAGGAAAACCATAATCAAGTCCTCGTCAAGTCACGCTCAATATATCCAGATTGCGATTCCCTCCACAACCATTCAAATCCCCAATAAAATGCTACCTCCAGGTTACAAACAAATAAAACGCTGAAAAAGAATGACAGCAAAAAAAACGGGTATGATATGAAAATTCTTCGAAAAGGTAGAAAATTCTTCGAGAAGAAAGTTAAGGTTCAGCTCAGCGGACACTTCGATTCAGCTTGGGGGGGAGGGGGGTGGTAGAGTGGCCTACAAACACGCCGTGCCACTTTATGGGAAACTGTAAACTTCTGAAAACTAACGAAAGGGTAGAGATTCAATCCCGCACCATTTCGTTCCGTAGAAACAAGGGAGTGAGGATTTTTGACCAAGCTCAGGGGCGATATCCCCAGGATGTATCATCAGTTTACGGAAAAAACAGTTTGAAAACGAAAATCGTACTTTTCTAACAATGTACAAGTTCACAGGACCTTACAAAATGTCCCCTCTGACGCCGAATTGCGCCAAAAGATAATTACGAGCACAATTGAACTGTTGAGCGCGATGCATTGTAAAAGACTCATATGACTCGCACACGCAGCGCCGACAACACAGAGAAAAATATAATGATTGTTAATCTGTCATAACACTCGTTTTTAGGGCCACACTTGACAAAGACTATTAAATCACCCGCGCTCAGAACGCGATGGGATTTTCCATCCAGACGAGATGAGATCTCGCAGGAAAATGGGAAGAGAATAAAGTAGAAAAAAGGATTGATGAATGGATTGAGCAAAAATAAACACGCCAGCTAGTCAAATTGGCAGCGAAATGAATATCGACCGATTCTCAAAACAAGTGAAAGAAAAACTATTATGAAAAATAAAATCCTGTCAAAGCAGTATCCTCATTAGAAGACATTCGAAGTAATGAGCTGTCAAAGCAGTCTCCTCATTGGAAGACATTCGAAGTAATGAGACTATTTAATTGGCAACCTTTCCAAAGCTATAGGTTTATTGAAATTGTTCATCTGAAGCACGCACCTATTCCGATCTCTCAGTCTCGATGGAGCTGATCTTTCCAAATTAGAGCCATATGTAGCTTTCTGCTTTGAGATCAGATTAAGCAATTGAGGGATAGTGGACCGCTCAATTTTTCTTAAGATAGTATCAAGTGACATAGTGAAGAAAAAAGAAAAAACCCTCCGGGAATGACCTACGTAGAACCCCAAACAAGACGAGTTCGCACTTCTTCGAGATGGCTCACTCTTCGATACTACCTCAATCTCACCACTTGAAATGAAGAGATTTAGTAGCGGACATCCGCACGCATCAAATTGTTGGGTGGTGCCTTTCAGGGTCTCCGCGACCCTGCTGTAAGTGATATACAGCAAGAGGTTACTAGCATCGCTGGGCAGAAATAAAAATCCTGATTTAATTCAAGAAAAATAGGATACATGGGATTGGATACAGAAATCCACAATGATTCATCGGCATTCCTCGATGAATGAGATGTGGTTTGCATCACTGAGAGAGCAAAGATCACAATATTCAGCTGTTGATTCAAACTTCAAAACTAGGAGCAATGTGAAAACTACTGTTCTTGTCAAATAAGCTGCTCTTTCGTTTTTGAGCGCTGCAAATGTTTCGCGGGAAGAAACATACGTTTTGCACTTTTCGATCTATCGCCCGACTAGCATGAAGTATTGGTTTTGAGTTGTTATTGCAATTTCTGGTCACCAGCAGCCGACGAGTTCATAGTCGGTGATTTAGTCGCTCGCTCATAGCTCTCGACATGCGCGGTGTATAATAGTAGAGAAGCGCGTGTAAAGCGATTATGACCGTGAGCGCCCAGCTGCCAAGTATGAAAAGACTTTCAAAACACCCGCGAAATGAAGCAAATGCGGCACATGCAACGGAAAATGGGCTATCTAGTTGATCGCATCTTATGGCAGAAAAAATCGGTAAGAAAAAAAGAAATGATTTAGAAACTCTACAATATTCAGTCGAAGCACCCTTTCTCAATGGCAAATACCACTAACCTCAGAATTTTGACTCGCTAATCCAGGAGAGTCACTGGTTGTATAATCTCCAGAACCTCCATTAGCTGCATTGGCGTCTTGTTGTCGTTGTTCTTCTTCATCTTTTTTGCATGACTCCACGTAGCTCCTGATTAATGGCGGCATGAAATTCGTTCAAGTGGGTTGCAATGGCAAGATTAACTATCACAATAGCTCAAGAGCAGAGAAATTCAAAAAAGGAGAGAAGAAAAGCTCTTCTCTCTTTCTTAGCAAGGGACTTTACTGAGAATGAGCTCTAATTACAAATACAACTGAATTACTGCTATGCTGTAGCTGAGCACTGCGTTCAATCTCGATGAGCACGCCTTGCTTCTCTTTCACTCTGCGTGTGGGCGGCTTGCCTTTCAAAACTCAGAATCGGCAATGCAGGGAACCATGATAATACTCTTCATCCATCCCTTCAGAACATCCCTAAGACGGTCTTTTCCCATGACCACTCTTAATCCCAATTCAAGAGAGCAAGACCATTTCAACAAATTACTCCGTCCCGTGAGCTTAAGGTCTTCTTCGGTCGGATGATAGGAGAGGGGGCACTGCTAGGTTTGGTGTGCTGCCAGCCATTTTTCCAGAGCAGACTGTTGAAGAGATGAAGCGCAACCAATCGCATGCGGAAAGATTGATACATGTGATACCGTCTTGAAAAAAGGGAAGAAACGTTGGCGCCACGCCAAAACCGTCCTCACTTGACACGCCCCATGTTCCGCAGCGAACAAGACTGCTTTCTTCCCAGAGTAACTATAAAAATGTTCAACTATATGATTAATACCTCCCGTCTGTAAGTTTCTTATGGCATTCACAAGTTCATAGAATTATATGAAAAACACTGATCAATACGGCAGGGACATACATCGTAACAACTCGTATGATAAATCAGCAGTCTCCTGCTCCCCCTCCCTCGAAGACAACTGATCAAAACAAAATATAATCATCAGTTTCAAGCAGTTAAGCAGTTACGAAACCTATTGTGCATCGCCCTTGTTCTAACATTGACAAGTACTGAGTATAAAGACAAAAAACATTAAGGCTACGCCGAACTAACCTTTCCATTTCATCTGACCATGAAAATGCCTCCGGCTCGGCCTGATGTGAAACGTCCAGGCTCAATTGTAGGTCTACAGCTTTCTTACAAATCTAGGAAAACAGTGAAATACAATTCAAGGAATCAGTTGCATAACAGTCGAGGCAAAAAAAGGTGCGATTCTGCTTCCTTAAAGGTCGCATAAGATATATGCAGAGCTAAAACAACGAGCATCTGATACGGATCAAAGGAGAAGCTTGATGGCAGAATCATAGAGTAGCATTCACTTTTTACATCCCCCACTTCAAAATTCTTGCTGATGTTGATCGATGTTTGTGCCCGGAGATACGTACAGCTGAAAACCTGCTTCTGACCGCAGGTTACCCCTAAATACGACTACTTTTGCGCGACCAAGGTCTCGCGCTGCAGCACCGGCCGTCACCGACCTATTTTTCCGCACAGGTACCTCGCACGCGCGAGGTACAAGCGCTCTTTGGGCCGGAAGCCGCACGGAGTGGTTCATACAATAATCAGCCATCGAGACGAAACTGCTATTGAACAACCTAGTTCTGCACCAAAATTCTAATGATCTCACGGACTGGGGTAAAGGGTAAGAGTGACGTTCTGAGCCCCCGCTCGAAAAACTTGACGGAAAAATTGAGCAGAAAAAAGTACCATCGAAAAAGGGAACTCACTGGAAAGCTTGAAAAGCACAAATTGCGCATCTAATCACGTACCCCTTCTTCTTCTTCTTGGATTTCATTTACTTGCAGACTTATCTGCCTCTGTTTCCTTTAGATTCGCATTTCAGCCGTCTGCTTTCTTGACGCGCTTCTAGGCCAGAACCCCTGAACCACATTAATTACAAGTAGACTTCGATAAAAAAATCTCCAAAAAACTTGCGTTCCTTGATTCTTTAACTATGTTAAGACCGAGCAGTCAGTCATAACAGAGAGTAGCCCACGGAGAGTGCCCAGAATGCCAACGGATGCTAAAGGCTGACTGAAAAGGTAGCTTTTATAAAAACAGCTGTTGGGCGCCTCTCTATATCAACGTGAAGCGTTCACCACGAACGACAACGGAGGTAGGACAGGAGAAGCAGCCAGTTATGCGATGAGAATGTATACATATCAAACGAAAGGCCGCCGCTACATAGCATTTGGCAAAACACGAAACAAAAGGGAGGATGGCGTGATCGAGATATGACCGCGGGCGGGGGTGGCGCAGAGACGCTTGTGGCCGAGCCGACGTGGTCGCACGGTACTTACGCAGCGTTCAGGCCACGAAAGATCTACTCTTGACTTGCGACATCCTTTGTGTAAGCGGCGGTCAACGCTAGTTCAGCGACTCTGTTCATGCGGATAGCGACTACTGATGGCTTGCTCTGATTAAGAAACAGGCGACAATCGACGCACTGCCTCATCTCTCTTGAATACATTCGCCGTTTACAGGAGTAAATCTACAAAAAGGCTCCAGAGTAACAGAAAGAAAGACCCGACCCTAGTGTTTACTTGAGGAAGCACAATGCGTTCCAACTAGAATTCTAAAAACCCTCGGTAGCACACCTAATTCACGTGAACGCCAGCCAATGTTTGTTTTCAATTTAGGCCACCAGTTAAATGACGTAAAAATTAGTTGGTCCCATTGAATCGAACGAATTCCTTAGTGTACGGCAAGAATCGCTCCTATAAATCACTTAGTGCTATGCAGCGATACATGCAAAGCGCAATAGGCTGCTTCCGCATCGGAAAGTCTGTTCAAACAGAACTTATTCCTATCACAACCAGCATGGAAACGAGGGAGATACCGCCCCCGACTATTTCATACAAAGAACCAGAACCGATAAATCACCTCTTCGAGACTATTTATAATCCCATTGACTAGAGGAGTCGACGATGAGTCAATGTTCGACACTGGCTCATTTTCTAATGCGGTCGTCATCTCAGGTGTGACGTCGCGATTTGACTTTTCGGATACCACACCGCTCACTGGCGATGGCTCCGAATTAGCTGAAACTAAGTTTTTAAGTCTCAAAGTATTTGTATGACCTTACGGTAAACGACTCTACCTGGTTTTGGAACAATTCGTCGTTTCTTAAACACCACCGACTCGCGAACTCGCCTCTGAAAATGAAACAGCTCTAAACACTGAAGGAAGTCATGAGGCTGTGTTCATACTTTGCGTCGGCGTTTTGAGCGTTACAAGCGTACGCCTGCGTTTTAAGCGACTGACCCAAAAGCCTAAAACTTCTTGCAAAAACGCTCAAAGCGCAGGTGGGCGCTCAAAACGCTGGCGTACGCTCGATACACTCAAATGCTTCCATACTCTCAAAACGCTGACGCAAAGTATGAACGAAGCTGGAGAGACAAAAAGGATGCAGAAAACATCTATGAAGGCACATTTGCATCTGGTGGGCATAGAAACCGAACGTGAATTCGTAAATGCTAATTGACCTGTCACTCGAGCGTAAAATAGGAAAAAGTTGGAAACCCCTTAAACAGGTACCAATGGTGTATCACCATTCGGAGAGGGGAGGCACTGCTGCATAGCCGAGAATAGAGACAAGCAGATAAAGGAGAGAACAGAAAGGTGAGAGAGACGACAGATACGGTCATAGCTGAAATCAGCCGCAACGTTTCCATTTATGTATTTACAAATATAGGTTCTCTAGCGTAACCCATACCCCATGTGGGTGAGACACTCCTACGGGTGAAGGGGAGGGGTGTTAGTTCTCCTAATGACGGTCGCGGCGCCCTTCTGAAGCCGCGAAAGTACGACATTCTCGGATACTGAGACACCTACATAACTATAGGAGCAAGTTTCTATCCATCAAGTACTCGCAGAATGTGTCTTTAGGTCACAAAATGATGGTGGCAGACAGAATGAGCTAACAGGAAGAAGAGGAGAAATGTGTAGGAAATGAGTTATTCCGCTGAAGCATCGAATTTAAAAGACATTCTTGAGAGACGGACAAGCAGGCAAAATGTCTCTCAGTCGATAAATTCATTCTTCACAAAAACGTGGGAAGTTCTTCTTTTTATTCGCTCCATAAGCACTTTGCATACCAACAATGACAATGAATCTAATTTTGAGAATGTAATATAAGGGGTATTCCAAATTTTCTCCCCATTGAGACTGCCTTTACAAAACATTTGTACTTCCGCGTAAACGTCGGCGCATGGTTCAATCCAATCCACTAAAATGACCACATGCCACGTTTACATTAAAAAAGGTAACAAGCGTGAAGCAGCAGTTTTGTCGAATGCGACGACACAAAAAAAGAGCTGTTGCTGGCGCGTTGCTAGGAATCGATTGCTCAGCGCTAGCTCCCTCTATCCCACACATCAACACTAAATACAGCGAAAGGCGACCAAGGCAAGTCATGCGGGGAAATCCCCTATTCTCACAACCTATCCATGCGATCGTGCTATGGTGGTTGTTGTAACAGAGCATGAACGAACAGCCAAGATAGCTACGTAGTAATTTACAGTACTGAAATTCATTAATGAGTACAGCTTAAAATAGCGGAACCATTCAACAGCTATGCCAACACCGGCGTCACTTCCTGATACAAGCTTTTCGAGTGTGCTTCAATTCCCGTTATATTCACTACCATCCACTCCATAGATGAAGCTTCCAGGGCAGAAAGGGCGCTGTTTGGCTCGGGAGGGTCATTTTGCACTCTCACCAATTTCACTTGCTAATTCCTGTTGAATTACACGTCTCACCATGGTGAGACTTGAAGTCTCTTGTCAAGCGTAAGCAAGGCTCCTGCTATTGGATGGCTTTACAGGAACTCACAAGTTCCGCCATGAAACATCGGCAGTGAACGATGAGAGTCAGGAAGAGCCCTCACCGAGCAGAACTGCGCAGAAAGTGACCGACAAGTAGTCAGTAACTCCCGACAGCCTTATGACTTTATCCCTCTTCCGTGTGAAAGTCTTTTCCATCAAGACTGTAGAGTTTGAACGTTCGTGTTCCCTTGATAGCATGAAATGACGCTGCTGCGCACTTCCTTCGCATACCGGCTGCGCTGGTGGGATGTTGCCGTTCTGGGACACTTCTGCTAGCGTATTTGTCCAGCACAATGCAGGATGCTTATTTGCCTCGAAAGAAAAAATCCCGGAACTCGCATTCTATGAAATATTCAAATGAAGTACACAGCCACGCCTTCCCAATCTCCAGATAAACAGGATAAAGGATAAAGTCTTCGCCGTTGATCAATCCCTTTGTGGGATGCGGCACGCATTCTACTTCCATTCAGAATCGTAGTGGCTTACTGAATGCGATGTGGCCTATACAATGACTTGCGGGGCCAGCCGATGTACAAGTCAGTGTTTATCCTCCCAGACGAATCTGGTACCAATTTACCGTCCCCGGAGGGTAGAAGGCTTGGTTGGCCTGGGCGGGTGTCGACCAGGATTTGAACCCAGTGGTGAGCGCGCCAATTGTCACTATACCATCTCCTGCCCCATCTTCGGGATATGAAGTATTAATTACAGCCACAGTTTCTTTGATGCATGAAAGCTATGAAGGAACTATCTTAGAAACCCTCTGGCGCTGAGATCTCGGAGACTCAG